GTTGTTGTTGTGGTCGTGGTGGTCGTGGTGGTCGTGGTGGTCGTGGTGGTCGTGGTGGTCGTGGTGGTCGTGGTGGTTGTTGTGCTTGTTGTGGTCGTGGTCGTGGTGGTCGTTGTAGTCGTCGTAGTGGTTGTGGTAGTGGTGGTCGTGGTGGTGGCCGTTGTGGCCGTTGGCCGGCTTAGTGTGAGTAGGGCGGTCATGGTGCTGCTGGTATCGATGCTCTCCACGGTGACCATGACCTCCCCATCGTCTGACGTCCAGCTTTGGCCAGCAGTCAAGGTTGACAAGTGCTGGCTGATCTCGTACCCACCCTTGTTCCACCTCTTGATCTGCACGTTGTTGCGCCAACTTGACCTCATGTAGGTATCGTAGGAGTGTGCAGTCTTCAGCTGTACCCAATACACATTGACCGGTGACACCCAGTCTGCAGTGATGGCAATTGCTCCGTCACTGTGAAGCGACATGGAACGCAACGGAACACTCGAAAGCTGGCTGGGGAAGTTGTCCTTGTTAAGTTCGAGCGATGGCGTTAGCCATCCCAGCTCATAAGAATGTGGGGCATTGTAGCACCGCACGGTGCAGCAGAAACCCATAGCACAGCTGTGATCCCCATATTCCGAGCCTCCATTGATGCCAGCGTGCGCTAGTCCAAGATTGTGTCCAAGCTCGTGTGTGTAGTCTTGGATTTTGGTGGAGTAATCATGAGGAATCCAAGAATAACAATTCGTTCGGGAGCATCCCACGTTGCCCATACCCACAAAGCTGCACTTCACAACATCCCTGGGGAAAATGACGACCCAGTGCTGCCATGTGGACTTGGAAAGTCCTGGCTTGGTGTCTGCAAACTTCTTGAATGCGTACCTGGGCCAGCCATAGAATTCAGCGCTTCCACAGTTGTTGACAGAGTCGTAGGTACCTGGGCAGTAAGGATCCACACTTGTATCACAAACCAGAGGCACATCAATGTAGAAGACGTCAGCCTTCTCACCTGGGACATCCTGCGCCAGATCGTTCTCTCCCTGGTCCACATCAAACTGCATCTGGAGCTTGCCATATGAGCAATCGTGCCATGCTCCTGCATGAGTCTGCGAATTCGTATGGTCGAAGGTGCCGAACAAGGAGTTGTTCACACCGATGGAAAAGCTCTTGCGCTCTTCCACAGTGTCCATGCTCGAAGGGACCAGGTTTCCGTTTGCATCCAGGAAGCGCACCATGAGAACAGCGGCAGTGCGAGTCTCCACCTCAGTCCGTACTGCATTGATTCTCAATGAGCTACAACAAGCTGTTCTTGCCGGCAACCACACGGGATCAAGCTCACTGGCCTTGAGCCTGAAGCGCAGAAACCCAAGGCCCAAGGCAACCCAAAAAGCACACAAAGTGAAGAGACTGAGGCTGACACGCCCTCGCTTGCCACCGTCTGGAGGAAGCTGGCCCTTCGTCCCCTTCCACGACGTCGGACCCTGAAGCCCCTCACCTGCAGACAGACCACAGCGAGGCTAAAGCTCAAGCATGTCTGCAGATCTTCTACAAGGCAAGGATAAAAAAGCAAAGCTTGCTGCCTTGAAGTTCTTCCGGCCACGCCGACGAAAACGGCGGCCGCGGAGGGTAATACGATCGCCTGTCTGGGGATGGAAACGCTCGTGCGCGTCCTCTATACCATCTACGTCCAATTCCATGTCGTCTTCGTCTGACTCTCCATCTATGTGACAGGAGAACTCATGCTCCGGCGGCTTGGTGTAGTAGTCCTTTGCAATGCTGCTGACCTCGCACTCCACCTCCTCATCAGCAGCATCCGCTTCATCCCAATCCGCGTCCTTGTCAACGGCGGCTTCCTTGTCCACATTGGAGCGGATCTGCATCAGATCGAGGCCACCGGACTTGGGGCATCCAGTTTGGCGTCCACATTCCTGAGCACCTGCGTTTGTCGCAAGAAACGTCAGGACTATCAAGATCTGCCTCATCTTCAAATGCATTGCTGAGGCGGTTCAGTGAGAGCTTGAATGGCGAAATTAGATCGTGACAGCTGCCTTCTGTTGAGCCGTCAGGATTGGCAGGACGTGCTACCTTGGAAACCGTACCTTGCAGTTGCCTGTCACTGCGCAAGACACGAACATCGCATTACGCTCCAAACCTAGCCTGATGAACGGGCTCCGAGTCCAGTGGCTTTGTCAGGGTCAAGTATGAAGTGCAGCGTGATTTGCGAATGGACGGCCCCTCAGAGAGGGGCAGCTAAGGCATGCTGACGCCGATTGCCATGATTTGATGTTGTTGTTGCAGGTGGAAGCCACACCTGCCTGGCATCTGAAAGTTGCGTTGCCCGAGACTGTTGCCGAATCCTTCACTAGCAGAAATCGTGAGGAAAACGGTGAAACACGTGCCTCATCTGGATTGTCTGGCAGTCAGGGCAATTCGCTCAAGTACTCCAAGTTTTGCTGCTTGCGCAAGAGACTCGTGAAACTCCTGGGGCGCGCTGCCCGCGGCTTCAGAACATCGATCCCAGCTGCACGATCATGCAGGACAGATTATCCTGCGAGCCGAATCAAAGGGCCTGCAGAAACGAACCTACATGAAGACTGGACTTCCTACATCACGTGCTACTCAACATTCCTCCACCTCCATGGCGATGGATTTATCAAGAACGCGTGGCAGTCAGACCTCTCACAGCTTCCCAGCCTCCTTGCAAACGGCAATTGCGGCCTGCAAACGGCAGTCCGATTGGTTCAATATGTGCAAAATCCAGAGGCGGGCACTGCAACGAGCAACTCGCCATCTTCCACTCCTTGCCTCCGCTGGGTCTGCCGGCGACGTGCCCTTCAGCTTCTTGGCCGCAAGCTGCACGACGGCCTCATTGGGGAAGCTGCCTGACAGAATTACAAAGGCAAATTGCCTTCATCAGCTAGTTTAGCTGAATAGCAATTATCAAGGCCTTCGGAGATGCCATCGCATACCAGCATCAAAAAATCCGAGGGATCACATTCAAAGACCTGACAGTCGTGCGCATAGATGTCAAGCGCCGCAATTCAGTTGTCTCTTGTTGAAACTGTTATAAGAATAAGATGAATAAATGACGGTATGCAGGCCTAGGATGACCGTAGAGTCACATGACGACCCCGATAACAACCGGCTTATACCCGTTCCTTCATTCAGTAGAGGCGAGTTTGCCGCAGCGAGCTGGTGTTCGGCCTGCAGCTCAGGCAAGCAGCTCACTGGCCGATCCTTCGGGCTGGGGACCTGCAATGCACATGCGGATCTAAATGGATCTAAGGTTGACTTCACATTAGGGACTGGACCGACATTTCTAAATCCTGCCGCTGGAACACAATGAGAACAAGACGCACACAACTAGGATATTCTTGGAAAATACTCAATTTCTGAAAATCGGACAACGATTTCAATTAGACTTTCATTGAGTCGATACAGATTCCCCAATGTTCCAGGGCCCCCGCCGCCGGGGGTATTGATGCGAAGCCAACATTACGGCATCACAAGGCCCGGACCACAATTAAAGATTCACTCCCTATACTCAAGAAATCCCAGGCCCAACTTCAGGGTCAAGGGTTGGGGTTCACCCTGTGGTTTAGGGGATTGAAGCTATAGCCCTGAAGCTATGACATTAACTCACACAACGCAATCATACGCAGCTGCACGCAAGCCTCCTGTAGTCTTGTATTGGCCGTCGCCAAAGGAACGGCTGACAGCCAAACTTCCATTCACACGCGCTACTCCACGAACCTTGGCTGATCTCCCCTTCACAGCAAACCTCTCGCGTAGTGAGCTGCCTGCTGCGTGTCTGGGCCACAGACTTCGCGCACGAACCCGCCAGTGCGTTCAATTCGTGCTCTTTCGCTCGGAAGATCTGGCTTATGGTCCTCATATGCTTTCTAGGGTGCAAGTGAAATACAAGTCACACCAGCCGCCAGCTACCAATGCGCCTGTTCTACACCGGACTATGACTGAGTACTACAATGAAGCTTGACATTGCGAAGGTCCGTCGTGAGGCCACGGTCAGTTCCAGGCCCAGCGAAGATCGAACCGTCTGCCCGCCCCAGAAGCACACGGCTATCGCCAACATTTCCAACTCGGAGGCGGTATTTGCCTGAGCACAGCATTCCAACACCGTGGGTTAGATTCAGGCACCTACTCCAAAACACATGTGCATACGATGCAAGGGTGCACCTTGTGGCATTGCTGGAGCTTCGACAATGACAAAAGTCGCAGTAGTTCCACTGGGCTGCTTGGTGTCCAGAAACTCCCTGTCCAAACGAAATACTAGGTCTGTGACGGCATCATCCGTTTTCGGCATGCCATTTGCGGAAAGCTCTTCTTGGAAGCGTCTGGCGATAAAGTCAGAGCACTGGCCACCTCCGTGGCCATCAAACACGCCGAAGAAGCCCCACGTGTCTTTGGCATAGATGACGTGAGCATCCTGGCAATCAGAACGGCACTACAAAAAGAAATACTTAAAACTAATACCTCTAATGACAAGGATAACAAGGCTACTAAGAACAAAATGACGATGACCTGTGATCATCATGATTGCAGTACATGACACGGGCATCCTCCATGCTGGGCCGTCGCCCCTGGGATTCGGAGAACCCGATTCGGAACGACTTGCTTTTCACTTGCCTTGGCAATCACGGTTTAGGACTTTGGGCTTGGGAAAGCGCAGCAGTAGCAGCTGCAATAGCAGTGGTGCCAGTATGAGCAGCAGCAGTAGCCGTAGCAGTGGTAGCAGCGCTAGTAGTAGTAGTAGTAGTAGTAGCAGTAGTAGTAGTAGTAGTAGAAGCAGTAGTAGTAGTAGTATTAGTAGCAGTAGCAGTAGCAGTAGCAGTAGCAGTAGCAGTAGCAGTAGCAGTAGTAGTAGTAGTAGCAGTAGTAGTAGCAGTAGTAGTAGTAGTAGTTAGTAGCAGCAGCATCATAGCGAGAGTCATAACCAGAACGGAAAAACAATAGTTAAAATGCGGAGGTGTGGTGGCCATCGTCGTAGCTATAGTTGTATCGTGAGAACAAGCGCAATAGTTGTTCTCGGTAGTGTTGGTCTCGTTAGTGTCGTTCTTCTTGCTGCTGCCGCTGCTGCTGCTGCTGCTGCTGCTGGCAGTGGTGGTGTTGGTGGTGGTGGTGGAAATATCTGCGTCTCGAACACCACCAATCAGACCTGGTACTGACTCACACTCATTCTCGAGGTGCGGAGGCAGAAGCGTTAGCTATTCAAAGTGTTGATAGCCCGCTGTCAAGCATGTCATGCCACCTAGCAATATCATCCCACAACCCCATACTCCAAATAGTAAATAAGCACTTTTTCCTGAGATCTAGTTTAAACGAGCAGCTCAGACGTAAAAGTTGTCGCTCCCTGCAGGGCAAACGAAAGAGCAGATTGAGCACACGCAGATACAGGATGCAACGCAGTGGATCCGGCACGAGTGATGCTGGGCTCACAAAGCTAAGCTTGAACGGTCCATTCGCACACACAGTGCAAGGTTTCACGGAGAACAAAGTAGCTCTACGTTACAATTCCATCGACAGCGATATGAGTACCCATTTCTCGGAAAGAATGTCGCACAAAACCAGACGAGCCAATGGCATGACTTAACTTGGATGAATTTAGCCTTCTGCTTCAAAGATCCAACGTACTATCTGCACTTAGGGTCCTCCATCATTAAGACGTGGCCGTGGGTGGATTGCATCCACCGTGTATGTACACATGTGCCCATATGTTCGAACAATGCCAGTACTGTAGCAATTGCTCTTATAGAATGGCAAAAATCTCACACGCAATCCGACTTCTTGAGGCTGTGGGCCCCCGCACCGTCAGCGCATGTTCATTTTGCAGGATCACCGTTCCGTCACAGCTAAAATGCTCAGTATGATGGGCATGCCACGCACTGGGCCTTGGCGGACGCTTCCACTTTGAGGCCAGACATCTCCGATTTCGGCTTGTGTTGCGCCATGCGAATCTCCTCCAAACCTGGTCTGGAAAGGCAACACTTCATGCGGCCTCATTTTGCTCGTGGCGGGTGTGAGGGTGATCTAGCAATGCGAGTACCGCCAATCTGCGGAAACAACTTGGCAACTCTAGCGTGGAAATGCCGAGGGGCGATTATCACTGGTGGCCGACGCTACAGCCGAACGTAAGTTTGCCTGAGCAAGGCTTGTCAAGACACGGGATCGACACCTTGTGCCCACAACGGCAGCCTGTTTTGGGAGCTCTTTTTTTTCGACACAATGACCCCAGAAACCAAGCCTTGAGTTCATCCACTTGCCGGCGCAACTCCATGTGAGCCACAGGGCTGGCGTGTGCTGCCTGCATGAAAAATCGTTTGAGCTCTGCACTTTGCAAGCTAGCTTACACTGCAAGTTGCAATCAGGACTAGCTGGAACTTCTTCCATGAGTGCATCTCAACCTGAAAGGCCTCGACTTCATCTCTATGCAGGCAAACATGATCCCCGCTACAAGGTGCTGGATAAACACTGCAGAGACTCAACCTGGTGAGCAGGTAGCGGCTGCATTCGGCTGCTCCGAGGTTCTGGATGCCTCTGCACCTGCGGCAGGTGCTCAGAACCAGGAAATGACTTGCAATGACCATCAATGCTGAAAGGCAAAGGTCCGGCTGGCAGTGGCTCTGCAAATAAGATGATAGACATCCTTTAATGTTCAGCCATAAAGGAGTTAGCAGCTCATTTCAACAAGGACAACACCGTTCAACTCGACAATTGCCGCACGTCGAAGCACAGACTGGTCTGAACTAAGCACGCTGGGGCTGGAAGGCTCACGACGCGATGCCGAATTCGGCTCGCACGAGACACTGGGCAGGTATGCTTCCAAACATTTGCGTCATCTACATCAAGTCAATGGCTACAAGGGGCCTGGCTACGTCTCCAGCAATGCAGAGAGTTAAGGTGTCTGGATTGCTCATTTGCAAAGCAACGAAAAATAGGAACGCAATAGCCAGCTAAAGAAGGATTGGCGCGGGGCAGGGCTCTGTGGAATGTAGAGCGCACCAAACTTGAGGATTGCACGCACTTTGCAGCAGCTTTGTTATAGTCTAAACTCCTAAGATCCCCCCCAATAACCCCTGCAATAGTCCCCGTATAGCCCGTATATAAACCCCTTGACGGGGTTTAAACTATAGCTCGCTCGTCTGATCTTTGAACCATCCCTGCCTCACCGAGCCCGCTGTCCACCTCCTGTGCCGCATCAGCCCTTCGTTGCGCCTACCCAACGGCATGCAAAAAAGTGCATGGACTGCAATAATGCTGCTGCAATGTGGCAATGGCTGTTCCACAGGGGCAATGAATGCACGGATCCCTCCTCCAGCCCCAGACAATTACCCCCAGGATGTGTTGCAGCAACCGTTTCACCCTCTTGAGGTCCAGCCTGAAGCAGGCGCTGAATGACCTGCGGTCAGCTGCAGCAATCTACGCGGTTGCGTTCATGAACGCCCTGCTGAGGTCAAGCCTTGTGCTGGGCGGTCACGCGGATCTGCAGCGGCGTGATGACCTGGAGCCAGCTGGAGCAATCAGAGGTTCTGAGAAAAGCGAACCCAGGCCCTGGGCTTCTAACAAATCTAGTATGTGACACCTTAGACCTTGGATACACAATCCTAAGCTGGCTGGACTGTATTGGACTCACTTAAGCGCACCCTCACAAACCAGAAGGCATGTCTTCCGATGGCAGAAATCTGGTGTCTGCGAAGCATGCCGGCAAACTGGATCAGCCTCTGTCTCCAGCCGCTGCATCACCTCGTCCAGCTGCGCCTCCGCAAGCCGAGACAGAGCGGGGTCAACTTCCAGATGCAGGGCTTTTTGAGGCGAACAACTTCAACATACAGCGAGCCTTGTGGAGCTGCTTGGCGATGAGCAGGGAAAGATCTCCTGGGAGCTCTGGCATTGCAATTTTATGCCAAAGCAAAAAGGGGTCTGTTCACTGCTGCTCAGGGGCTTCCCAAGTGCTCAGCCATGTGCTCATGCTCCGCAGCGATGGACTGCCCAGGCATACATTGCTTGCAACCAATTCCTATTGAGGTTGGTGCGATTTGGAGCCTCCAGGCATTCAGTCATGGCAGCGGACATCATCTCGCTCACCTCTGTGACATGCAACCAAAAAACAGCGTAGATGCAACACTTCTCACGATGACCATGGGCACCCAACAGGACCTGCTTCACGCTGTAAGATGCAGACGCACTGGCCAATAACCGGTCCAACCTCATTCTCAAATCGAAACTGAATTTCTGTCTTCAAAGCTAAGCTTGGCTCCTTTCCCTGAAGCCGAGCTGTAACAGTGAGCCAAGCCAGTACACTGACCGACCACAGACGCTGGTACAACGTAGCAGCTAAGTCCAGGGCCTCGAAGACCGGCGCAAGCGAATCTTGCTGTGCCTGGCATCTCTGCGAGGAGTTGCTTAGCAGAAGGTAGCTGCTTGTAAATTGGCAGCTCCATCCAGTTGCGGGCACGCAACATAAATTTATTGAATGTGCCATCTCAGATGATCAAGCACGAATAGAAACAGCTAAATTTGCGTGAATATGTGACGAGCTTCCTTTGGAGAGGGCACTTTCCAGTGGATACGCCAACGATAGCTTTACCATCTGATACCATGTATCATTAGAAACTAAGCTGGAGGACTCTTTCACCAACCCGCAGAAGGCAGGCCATGACTTACAGTTATCGCACCAGGAAACGTGACATGCTGTCTGTTGAAGGCCGCTTGTGTTGGGTGTCTGACAAAGATTCCAATTAACATGGCATGGCAAACTTCCCATTCAAAGGAAAGCTTTCATACATTGTGAAGCCCATGGTTTACAGAAATACAGCGTTCTTCTAGAAGATCGTCATGAGCTTCAGCTGGAGCTACTCTGAGTGCCAAAGGCTCTGCTGATGTGGGAGCCTCTCAACAGTCTCCTCCTATCTGGTGGTTGAGGGAGTCCCTGCCTGAAATCACATGAGTCAAAAGGTGTAGAAGATCGTTGAAGAAAGCCACGAAATCCATATCCACTACTCATCAGAAACCCCCGACTCCCCGAACAATAAGGCTGGTGGTGGTGGCGGCGGCGGCGGCGGTGGTGGTGGTGGTGGCGGTGGTGGTGGTGGTGGCGGCGGTGGTGGCGGCGGCGGTACTACTACTATCTACTATTAATACTACTACCATTACTACTACTACTACTACCACCACCACCACCACCACCACCACCACGACTACTACTACTACTACTACTTCTACTACTACTACTACTACGACGACGACTACTACTACTAATACTAATTAGTAGCATCAAAATTTACAATGTCAAGCAGGCCCCCTGGCTGCCTTTGAAAGCAGAGACGAAATGCTCGCCGCACACGCCTCTGCCCACGCATCAGTGGCCTGCAGCAGAGCCAGTCCCGAAAGTTGGCCAGATCAGCTTACAAGGACAGAGCCTTCCGCATTTCTTGAAGCTGGATGTCGTTGGCATCCTGAACCTCAAAGGATTTCAAGGTGGAATAGGAAAGCCATTTGCAAATTAACTTTTGCAGGCCTGACTGGCCCCCTCCACTTTGGCGAAGACCTGTCAAGCAATGTCAAGCATTGAAACCTCACTAGACTTTGCATTTCACATGGCATCTACGTCTCATCTCCTACTATGTCGCCTGATCCAGCCAGCCAGGATCTGACTCGGCTGCGTTCCTTGCAACATGCTGTACAAAAGGGCTTGGAGTGACCACGTGGCAGGAAAAGTCAGCACATGTTGGATGCCTGGAGCTATCCAAATGCAGCCTATGAACAGTTTGCATATGTGCAGGCCGGTTGCCTGCTGCTCTTCAAGAGACACACCACCTGCCAAACGCGATGCTCCCCGAGTCGATTGATGACTCTGAATCGAGTCATTGAGTTGAAACAAGGAGCAAGCCTTTGATGCCCAGACTCTCCTGCATCATGCACTGGGCGGGCCTTCTGTAGGATCTTATCTGCGACGTGCTCTTTCCTCACCGTCAATTAGTTTGGATCAGACACAACACAAAAAGCCCCAGTGCAAGGCTTGCTCCAGCAAGACAACTGAGGATGCAGACTTCTTGCAAACTCCTCGGGCAAATGAGGTGCTCATCCGCTTCCTGAATCATCATTTCATCTGAACATCCGCCAAAAGCATGTACTGGCAGATTCCGCAGCTGTTGGTATCCATATGTGTATGCATCCTTGCCCATCTGAAGTGTGCAAGTTGTCTGGAGTTTCTACACCTGCACCTTCGCATCTGCTTGAGCTCTAGCATCAGAGCAAAGAGTTCGCCAAGCATCAAAAGCATCTTGACCTCTGCCGATTTCCTGGTACCACCAACAGCTTCTGCGACCTGAAACGGCAGCACATTGTCACCTTCAAATGATCTGCCTCAAGTCCTTACAACAATGACCATGCGCTTGGCAAAGATCACGTGAGTGGCTAAGCCATGGGATGAGTGCACGTTTTTATTGCATTTTAATTTGTCTGGCCCTGCATCAACAGTCTGGGACACGGGCCCCAGCCCCAAGCAGAGTGGGTAGCGGGGAATCCTGACCAGTTCCCACAAGGATGCACTGCAATTCATCTGAGGCTCAATGATTGGTAGTAAGGAAGTGCATGCACGAGCGCAGACGCACAAAGAGAAGTGGATGCATCCTAACACGGTTTGAGAACATTGTGGGCTGCACTTGAAGCAGCTTCTAAGCGGGAGGTGACTTCCACCAAACGCTCATGTGGCTTTTTCATGGCAAGCCGTACGCTTTCTGCATCTCGCATGGGATACTGCCATTGCTCAACTTCTCAAACCAGCAAGGCCAGCAGGCATCATATTCGACAACTCTCCACATGCCACCCTCAACCCAAAATTTTGAGGAACACAGCCTGAAGATCTTTGAATTGAAATTAACTTCGAATGGCTTTTCTCGATATGGGCGAGCTTAGGTTATGTCCCCCGTCCCATCATGCAAACTGGAAACGGTGCTCCTGAACGCAACGCCAATAGCCCTCGCAAGGTCGTCTTGAAAATGCCGATGTCCTTGGATTGGCTCACCAAGGCCTAGATGGCCTAGAACACGTTCTTGAAGCACGATGCTAGGGTACTCTGAGAGTCTTATGCTTGAACATACAGGCCATGTTGGCTTTAGTTTGCTAAATCATGCTGAAAAGTTCGTACAGGCAAGCCACGTGAAAAAAAAAAGTAGTGTTGGTTACCCAAGCTATGACACCCAAAACAACTAGGACAGTCTCGAACCTAGCCGCTGCACAGGAGATCTCTCCGCATGCGTGCGGACCATCTGGCTTTCGCCTTCCACAGCAATGATTCAATCAGGTAATTGCCCACTTTATGCAATCATTCGTGAGCCGGGACCAATCAGAGCCGTAGCTAAGTTCTTCGTGATACATTGAATAGATACCGTACTCGTTCAACTCTGTCCTGTCTTTCGAAATGCCTTGGCCTGGCACTGTTTATCACACCCTCTCGCATGACGACTTCAGCTGGCAGTTGCCGAGAATAGGATCCGTTGGGTGGGTAGCTAGATCACACCCCACATGCTAGGCAGACCTTCGAGATTCCCTTGTTCAGAAGCTACAAAGCGAGCGGCTGTCAACAGTCATGTCCCCTCCTGGGGTCCCCACTTGTGGGATTTCAGGGTTGGGGGTAGCCTCATACAGTAGTACGGTATTCTGCTGATGGGACAGGAGCACAGTTGACAACCACATTTGTCTTAGAGCCGAGTGCAACGGGCAGAGCCCGGACTCCAGGCCTTCTACCCTGGCAGCCTCTGAGGCCTTTTACCGCGTCTTGGGATGCTCCTGAGGCGCCGCCATCCTGGCACACGGAATTTGCTCAGGTTCAGTGTGGGCATACACATACCCAAATATACCCGGGTTGGCTGAAATGGCTTCTAGAATACCTGCATTGGCAACAAACTTCTGGATTGGCCAAACTGAAACTGCCTTGAGAGGACCGACGGCCCTGGATCGGCGCCGATCTGCTTCAAGCCATGTGCTTTGCTGGTCGTTGTAGGCCACGAAATGAAACGGGGCCTTCACAGAAGTCCCTGTCTTCAGCTACTTTACAATCGGGCTCCTAAGGCAGAGCTAAGGAGTCAGAGCAGCCTCAGCTGAGGACATCCCATTTGCTCCCTCCCTTGGCTCCAAGGCACCATGATAGCACAAAAGTCTCACCAAAAGCAAGGTCCAAAGCGCCGCCAAGCCTCTTGACAGCAGAATAGTCCATGGTCTTTGGCGCCTTGTCCTGATGAGATAGCAAAAACTGCAAACTTCCAAAGATGTGACCTGCAGCGCACAACCAAAGTGTTCAGCAAACGCCCCTGAGGCTGCCTGACTCTGTCTCTGGACGTTACCAGCCCACGGAAGCGGCATGCTACGCTAGCAGAGGCCGTGGAGTCGATTCAAGGTGTTCAAACATACTCGGACGCTGAGAGATGTGGACGTTCTGAGAAGCAGTCAACTCGCTGTGGGTGTCTGGATTTCTTGCGTGAACAGACTGGTCTTATTCCGATACACTGCATCGCCCCAAATCATTTGAACGCTTGCGCGTGGAATACCTTCACTGGAACTGATATGTTGATTCTGACTCTGAACATCTTTAGAGTACTTGAGGCCAAACACGACAGGCATCTGAGATTCTTGGAAGTTCTGTGCAGAGCGTGCAGACATGGCTTGCACTCTTGCAAATGCCACCTTTTGCAGCAAATCAAGTTGGCAGAGGACCAAGGTATGCTGCCCAGCTCGCGGTTCCTGGCACCTGCATCTCATGCTTGGCGAAATGGTTATCTTCTACTTCTGAGCAGTATCAGTATCAAAGCATGCAATACCAACTCTTGGCTACTGCCTGCTTTGCTATAAGGAGTCTGTCTTTCAGTACCATGTTGGAATACTTGCATTTGTAGCAATAAGAGAAGAAGCAGCAGGTGGAGGAGGAGGAAAGAAGAGTGGTACTAAACTAGCCTTGGTGGGCGTGTCTTGCTCCAAAGCTCACCTACCCGTCCCGTGGCCTCAGCCTCCAAGCCGTGCGGGGCATTGCTGCCGACACTGCCTGAATAGGAGCCTGAGTTACACTAAGGGAAACCTCTGATTTTGCCACTGAGAGTATGTTCCGATAGTCATGTCTGCTGCGCACATACTGGGGCGAGCTCGCTCTCGTTCTGCCACGACGTGGTCCGGCGCAGTGCAGCAGGGACGCACCGAGCCGCACGTACCGCACTCCACCTCCACATGAGGACAACTGGAACATGGAAATTGAACGGCCAGAGAAGCCATAAAAAGCTGCCTGCGCCCTAGGATCCTCCTCACTGACCTCTTCAGAAGAAACCTCAGAGCGACAGCTCGCAGTGATCGCATCAAGGCAGCGCAGTACTGACTGTCAGGACTGTCGGGACTGTCAGGTGTAGCTATGGCCGAGTTAGGGACTCCTTGTGGAAACGAACGAGACTCGCCTGCGAAGCCGACGTGAAATGACGGCAGGGGCGGGGAGCCTCCAGATCTGCGCGGACTTCCGCTTTTCAAATTTTCGTGACAAATGTCAGGCGCCCGGCGGCGCCCAAGCAGCGTTGGTCCGGTGCGCCCGGCCCTGCCAATTCCAGGGCCTCAAATCCATGAACCAGTTCCGCAGGTCATCTCATATGCATGGACTTGGGCTGAGGCAGATGTGCCTGTTCTGACAGCCATACAGAGCTGCGTTCACAAAACCTCTCGAGACCGCTGAGACAGGATTTCCCGCCCGCATCTTGGCAATACTTGGCCAGTTGCCGTTGCTGTACATGGCGAAGCTTGCGAGCCGCCCAAACCTCACAGCTGACAGCAAACAATTGCGGGTTACCACTGGGAAAAAATGGAAAAATTCTCGAACCTCTGTTTTGACCCATCGGTCGTGATGTCGCGTCCTGAGGCCAGTAGCCAGAGATCTTCCGGGATGACCCTCGCATAGAGCCTGGTCTGTTCAAAGCTGCGGTGTGAGACAGTTCTGCAGCTGGCTGTAGGCTCAGAGCAGCCACTCGGGAAATGCCTTTGAGAATTCAAAGTCAGACCCAACGCTTCTTGGTCAAAGTCTGCACCTGAGAACCTTGCAGTGATAAGAAAGCCGCAGGGATAGGCCAGGGCTCGCCAGGAGGCCCGCCTTGCATGTGGCTGCTCATGATAACCATGCTACGGGCAATAATTTTAGGTGAAATCAGGCACAGACTTGACTGCTGTTCGTGCAGAATGCCTGACAACTGCGCTTGGCGATGGCGTCCGCAGGACCGCTGCAAGGGATGTCAGATACATGCACAGCCTGGCACAGCCACGCATTCAAGACAACACCACAAAGAGGCTTTGGCAGGGCCCTGGCGTGCAAACAAAGTTGGCGAACAGAACCTTGTTGGTCAACGCAACACTTGCAGTACACTTCACCGTCCGCTTGGATATCTATCCTCAGTCTATCCTGATAAAACTACCAATGTTACTCCAATGCCCACCCTGCGCGCGTGCAACAAAAAACGACGCTTGCTCGGGCAGCCCACGACTTCAAGCACTTTGGTGAAGCCGAAGGCTCTTTGGCCTGCAAAGAACGATAGCGCTTTGATGAATCGCTGGACGTCTAGGGCAGATCATACAAGGGGGTTGCTGCACAAAGCTCTGAAAGTTTGTGGGGGCGTCTGGCAGCATGCCTTCCATGTGCAAGTGCATGGACACGGCATCTACTGCCTGAGTTGCATGTCAGATCACTCTGGCTGGACATATCTGATGCTCTTAGGCCCTCACTCCAACAGCAGCTGCAAACAGCCAAGTAAATGCTAGAATCTTTGCCTTGCAACAGGCTGGCAAACAGGACGTGGTGCACAAAAGGCTTACCAAGGGCTTTGCTAGCATCCGAGGGCATCGTTGGCTATGAAGCGCGCTGCCCATAACCTGACGTTGTTCTCTTGGCATCTGCTGGCAAGTTGCAAAGCGCAAAAAAGAATAAGAAATCCCAGTCACTTGTCAAATGCTTTAGCTTCTCTCAGGAAAAAAACTGACACTCAGGCCAAAGAGCCCCTGCGGCAATCTGGGCTTCCACGAAGCAGACCACACATAGGAGCGTGTGGAAAAGTCCACGGCCTCTGGATTCAATGGAAGTTGTGGAACTGCCTGCTGAGGGTTGCATTAGCTGTACCAATACCCGCATCTGTGTGCCGCTAGCACCTGTGCTACTAGCAATGGCCAGCATACTTGCACCTTTACAAATGGAAATGCTGGTGATACAGGCACTGATGTGGCTATTGGTGCTACCACCACGATAGGGACAACAAAGTCTGCGGATTGCAGGGACAATCTAGAACAGCAACGCTGAACTGCACCGGTCGGCCAGCACCATGCAACGGAAACGGCTTTTGACAGGTGCGCACCGCTGGGGTAGTTTACACGCGCCTGTTCAGGCATCCTGCAGAAGCAGTCACTCAGTCACACCACAAGTCGGCCGTATGAGCTTTCCGAGGACTGCATGACCCCTGGAAAGAACCAGGAGCCCTGATGCCTTCCAGGAACCCAAAAAGTTAAAAGAGCAGCCAGGACTGCGCCATGTTTAGTGGGTCCTCTCTTTGGGCTGCATCTCCAGTCTGGAAACGGGAAAATCCAGATTCCACAAAATCTGCGAGCTTTAATTCAGGGAATGGATCAAGGTCGAGCTTGCATCTCAGCTAGGTAGGTATAGCAGGAATGAGATCTGCACCAGCAATTATATAGTCATCTCCTGGTTATAACTTGAGTTTCTCCTACCTAGCATCTCAACGTGCTAAATGTGCTAAGCACAGCCCGATGGTCGGACGGCCACGCGGCAGCACCCAGGCCGCAGCTGCTGCCGTCCACGGTGGAACTGCTTTCCACTGCGAGGTCTCTGCTGGTGTAGATGTAATCAATGCCTCCAGTCAGGCTTTGCTCTCCCCTTTGCTTGGAAGTCCCCTTCCATGTCAGTCGAGCAGCGGCTAAAAACGCCGAAAGGCTCCTGGTCCTCCTGGCAAGCGAGAGCGAGTGAGAGCTGATAAGTGCGCAGTTTGCAGTTTGAGCCACAGCACGTTTTCGGGTCCTTGGCTGCCCAGGTCTCCGCAGGCACTGCCGCCAGCGACCGGCCTGCAGTCCAATCAGGACTGAACCAAATTTGAAAAGCCTGGAGGCTGACAACACCGTCTGCAAAATATAAGTTTCATGTGCGCCATGATCAGTCTAAGCCAAAGGCGGGCTCACAGACAAATGCTTCAGATCTGACAGGAACCCTTATTCTTCTTCCAGCGCACAGGGCGATTTGGAAGTGTCAGCATTGTTTTTTTCCATATAAAATTTCTTTTGCTAACATGGAGAGCCTACGCGAACTACGCGGAATGGTTGTTTTCCCTGTGGAAAAGACTACGCGGGGATACTCTTGCTGACTCTTGCTATTCAAGTGACTACGCGGACTACGCGGCACACCTTGCCTACACAACGTTTTACGCAATACGTCTTATGAAACGTACAAACTACGCAGACTACGCGGACAAGATAACCTACACGTGACTGCGCGAGACTACGCAAGACTACGCCCTGCAGGCCCGAGGCTACGCGAGCACTCTTGCAGTTTCACGGTCATCATAGCTCTTTCATGCAGAAAAAATGCTGCTCTGGCTTAGCTGAGGTCATCCAGAGTCTAGAAATTCCTAAGCAGGGGCTGTAACCGTTCATATATGTTGTTGCCTCTGTTACCAACTCTTTGCGGTTCTGCTGGCTGCAAATGCAGATCCTGCTTGAGTCAGCCGATTTATTTCCCTGAACCTCGTCGGTCGCGTCTTTTTGTGGGTGCAGGTATTGTCCAGGTTTGGGGTGTTGTAACGGTCCAATTTTGCTTGAACAATCAGGTAAGGATAGGTTGAAGAACCTGAGTGGCATGTTCCACGCCGTCCTCCCACGAATCCCTCTTAGCCAGGAGGGGAATGCCGTTCTTACAACAGTCCACGCCTCGAGCCTCTGCATAACCTCAGCGGAGCAGTTTGGCGGGGCAAAAGGACAGGCAAGTGATCCCTAGTGATCCCTCTGAGAAGGCAGCTGTCAACGAGTCCATAGGCCGCACACTCCACCGAGCAAGGCCACAGTGGACCCTGGCATTCTTGCTCAAAAGGTTTGCGGTGTGCTCACTGCCGCCCACTTTCCCGCCTCTGCGTCGTCCAAATGGCTGGCCGCATTAAAATCGCCAGTGATCTTCGCAGTGATGGCAGCTCACAAGAGATTAGCAAGAGATTGGCTTGCCTAGGCGTTGCACACTTACTGAGGGAGGCACGATCACGGAAACCCCCATGGTTTGATGGATGTCCTCGGAGAACTGGAATCCAGAAGCCCTCACATTTGCTGCAAAATCGAATGTGGGCCTCCAGCACGTCCCGCAGGTCTGGTAGCTGCGCGCTTCGCTCCAAGGCTACAGCAATCTCCTCACGCTCTGCAAGGCATGCTTCTTTGAAGCCTCAGTGGTCCAAGCAGCTGAACTTTTCGAGGCCAGCATCCACCAGCAAAGAACTACAAGAAAAACTGAGTGTTAGGCCAAGCAACGCGTCGAAGGGGTCGTCGAAGGGCGATGGATTGCCAGCAAAGCCGTGCAAAGCATAGGGGGCAAATGGATAGGACCGCAAGTGGAGGTTGTACCACCTCAGCACAAGGCAAAGCAGTGGATTCGTTAGGGCACTCGATCAGCTCAGCCAGCTTAGCTGTTCTTCTGGGCCACCTTAGCCGTGGCCAGCCAGGCGGATAGAGCTCGAAGCTCTGCGCGGCAGTCAGGGATGCAGAGTGCTCCACAGGCCACCGACTGAGAACCTCTTTTCAAAGCACCGCATCCGCAACAGGGGCTCTGTATTCGTTCTTCCAGACACTTGTTGCATTTGAGCACTCCTGCACTCAGACTCAGACTGGCTCTCGTCGATCTGGTGCTCCAGCACAGTAGTACCCACAGGCCTCATCTTTACCAGGCGCATGTCCAGCCATCGTCCAGAGGCATCCCTACGCTTAGTGACTGGCCTGCGCTAAGTAGCATGCCGACTTCCAGGTACACTCCTGAAAACTTCAAAGGTCCGCACTATGCGATTTGAAGCACGTCCCAGTAGTTCAGCCAAACATCCAGAAGTGTCCTGCAAGCCCACGAGATCCGGTCGCGTGACGCACAGGACATCGCAGATTTGATCCAGAGCAGCACCGCTGTCCCACCACCTCAACAACATCTTAGGGCTCTGGTCAACTGAACCCAAAGACATAAGCAAATCGTCGTCCTCTGCAGCCTGTCTGTGCATGTATCGAGACTGCAACGTGTGCTTCATAGATGGTAGACCATCACCTCATGTCTTGAAACAGCCTGAGCGCATGACACATTAAATGACATCACTGTGACTTTTGGCATGGCTGTCTCGGTTTGCACGTGTTGCATTTGTTCGGATGGAATTGACTCAAACTCCTTTAAGCTGTGTTTGCTCACCGTAAAGCTCGCCAGACTTTCCAAGACTGCCAGACAACACAAAATTCGCAAACCTAGTTGCCTGCCAGCGCAAGCTTCCATCTTGAACCAACACAGCTGAGGAGAATCCCTTGTATACTCGCATCTCAAACCCTGCATGACAGAGCTCTCACAGAGGAAGAAGGATGACCTTGGGGGCCCGACAAGTGATGCAAAAGAGCGGCGGAAGCGCACGCCCCTGTGGCCAAATGGCCCAGACAGCCAGCCTTATCTACATGCATGTCTGCATTCACCAAACCTTCTGCATTGAAGGCATGGCTGCAAATTCCGTATGTGAGGCCTAGACTCATAGCCAGGGTCCTGAGAAAGATGAGGCTTTTCGTGATAGTGGTAATAGAGATTGGCGCTTCTTGAATTGTGGATACTGCAGACTTCTTCTTGTTCGTCAACCCAAATGCTGAAAACCAGTGAAGGAAACGCACAGCCCTTGTCACTGGCTGCAGGCGAGGCTCCACCAAGGACAAACATAAATCTGCCAGGGCCAAGTGACGAAGTTGGCCTCAGTTGGAAGACAAGGCAGCAAAGCAGCTGTCACGCGTGTTCTTGGCACCTGTTGCTTAACATTTGCACGATCATCGTATTCGACCCATCAATCCATGAGGTTCTCACTGCTGCGTCTCAGGTTGTTGACAAGAAGCAATTGAAGAGGTACGCTGGCTGCTTGCACGTGGCTTGCAGCAACCAGCTGGAGCCAAACACCTTAGCCAGGCATGTTTGCTAGCATGTCAAAACATGACGAGCAGGGAAGAAATACAGCTCTGTTGTCATAACACGGACCTGTTCCCAAGCACATTCCAGAATACGACCAAAACTACGCCGGATCACAGCAACACCTGCATGCCCTCAACACCCAGCTGCGCCAGCGCAAGAGCAAGAAGATACCAGCAGAAATGATTACAGCGATGCCATTAATGACAGCACAATAATGCCATCTAGGAAGAAGTACCTAGTCACGATGGCAAAACACAGGAGCGAATCTCATCTTCCGATGGCACTCAGGAATTCACACAGGGAAATTGAGGCAAGCACGCTACCACCAAGAGCTGTCAAGCGAAGGACTAACCAAACCTGGCTCACTTCAGCGTTCAGGCCGATATTGGGACGGAATTTGGGATTTTTTGGTTTTGGGAGACTCACGAGCGACCCATCGTCGCACATTCTTGGCATACGCATACACCGAAAAAGAACCACAAATCTTTCAAACCTTGAAAACGATGTCCACTGATGGCATGAAACTCGGCCAGGGCTAATTCGCAAGACCATGATCCAACACCAACTGAAAGTGCAAAACGTGTTGGCGCCTGTGCTGTCTGTTCCACCTTGAGCGCACAGTAGACGTGACTACCAAACGAAATGCAATCTCATCCTAGCAGCAGTTGAGGCTATCTGAAAATGGAACTAAGAAGGCGGCAGCTGTCCCAGACCCAATGCAACAAATAACACATGGGAACCAAAGCAAGCACACAAACAAATGCAGCACAATCAAACAAACTGAACACAAAACTTGGTCCCTACGCACAGGCTTGCCGATGGTGCAACATACACAGCATCAGGCTGAGACTTTGACCACGGGCTGTGCCATACTGGAGCTGCATGGCTGACAAACGCTGTCTGTCTGCCTGGTCGAACTGTTGGTTGCTTGCTTCTTGGTGACCTATTTGAGTTGCACCAAAAAGTAAAATTCGATTAGAAATCAACACAACATAAAAACAGCCACCACAACCATCAAGCAGCTGGTTGGTTAGATTCCAAATTTTGATCGTTTGGCTTGCATCATACAAACCGCACCAACCACGCAGTGATGCGTTGATGACCGCCTACTTGATCGTCGCCTTGCATTGACAGGCTTTCACGGGCACGGCCACAAACATTACGAACTTCATGGCTGCTATGATGCGATCTGACCAAAAAACAACAATCGACATGTCAACATCAGCACGAGCCAGCGCCGAAAACGTATTCGTACATTCAGGCAAATATCTTATCAGCAACGTTTCGACGGCTTTCGCTATGCAACAATATATGCTCAAAAGCTGCTTTCATTACTCCTACAACACAATCCTCCAAGTTATGTCACTCATCCAAAGTATATATATATATATACAATATTAATTTCGAATCGTACTCAGACTGCAAAACCAACAAATACATACGTATTCATTGCATCACTCACAAGCCGCTCTCCTTTTGCTTCTTCTTGTTCATGCAGGTAACGACGGGGGTAGGTCCTAATGACACAGACACGTGATGCCAAGTATGCACGGCAAATCCTTTTTGGCAACACCTGCATTATGAGCCCCTTCCAACCCATCAGCTATCTCGTTGTTTTGAATGTCCCTCTGGACAGGCATGACGGGGTGGGAGGGCGGGTCAAAAATTTCTTCTGCTCTGGGCCTACACCTCAGAGCCTGACTGATGGCGCGGTGCATGAAGATGACCCCCGATCTTCCCAAAATTGAAACAAGTCGCATGTACAACTCAAATACGCAGACATGCGCACATGAAATCATTTGCGTACATGAAATATGCAAACATGTTCTCACACATTTTTTTGAGAGCTAGAAACCTGTGAGGACTATGTGGATTCACCTCTATACTCGGACGCGGCTCGATCCCTGTCAGAGACTCAGGACTTTGCCAAGCGTAGGCCACCTATTTGGCGCCTCGCAGCGCACTGCCATAGCAGGCGACAGCAACTTCAGCCATCACTCCTTATGGATGGCGGGAACAACTGGGGAGGTACCACCTACACCCAAACTAACTAGCTATTGGATGCATTGTGCATCCTGCGCAGGCCGCGCCCCGCGGCTCGCATGGCCAAGGTGAAAACTGGTCTAGGCTTTCATGGGAGAGGTGAACCCTCATCCTGTTGAAGTCTGGACCTTCCCCACCTGAGATCACTCGGTTCTGACGCAGGAAGATCAAATAGGAGTTCTGATTGATGAGTCTGCGGTCAGTTTGACGTAGGGTTTTTGCTGCCACGTTATCGTCCGTGAGATATTCTTGCATGTCTTCAATCAGGCACGCTTGGTAGTGCCCAGAATTGGGATCATTCCCTCTATGAATGGCTATGGCCA